TAACTGTTAACTTATGCCGGAACTGGTAAAGTTCAACTATAGGATTTCAATGCTTCTGTTTATATGAAATTGCCGAATGCTGAATAAATAAACCAGGCCTTATTGCATGCATAAACAAGACCTAACTATTAATATATATATGTATATATTTGTATTCGTTTTTTTAATATCATAAAATGTACCTAAGGATTCGAAGATAATCTTCTTGAATTCTAGTGGTAGCATCTCCTACAAAAACTATCCTCTTGTTTTGCAAATCGTCGTAACCATAAAAATAATCATATACATTGCCATCGAGATCAAGAAACATGGAATTAACGGTCAAATCTCTTCTGTTTGCATCCAACTTCCAATCTTTAGTGAATTGTACTTGCGCATGTCGACCATTGGTTGCAATATCGATTCTTAAAGTTGTGATCTCAAAATTTTCTTTGTCATTTATTCTGGCAGTTATTGTTCCATGCTTTTCACCCTTCTCATTTATCATTCTGATCTGTTCCTTCGTAAACATATCCTTAATTCGGTCCGGTGTAGCATCGGTTGCAAAGTCGAGATCCTTTGGCTGGATACCCATCAAAATATCACGAACAGCGCCTCCGGCAATTCTCAACTCATAATTATACTTTTTGAACAAATTTGCAAGAGTGAGTAATTCCGGTGTGAAGATAGAACGAAATTCCGGGCTGTTCAATTTGACAATGATAGGATTAGTTCTCGGAGATGGTAATGTTTGTTCATCAGCCATTCTGACTTTCTTCCAATTGTCATACGCAGTTACTTTGTATCTTCTTTTCTGTGCAAGAATATAATTGTTACGTAGATATATCATACACGTAGCGAATATAGATTTTTCAATGATTCTGGAAATATGCAATTTTAAGACTACACTTACATGTCTAGTGTTACAAGTGACATAACCTTGTTACTTAAATATAACCTTACTTGGAAACATAGCTCTTTACATATTTATGGGTGCGATCAAAATCTCACTGCACCTGTTTTGAAGTATTTTTCTATCTTTATTCTACATTTAACGAAGAATAAGATAGAACAATGCTTCGAAACATTTGCAGTGAGACTTTGATCGCACCCTATATCTTTTTACATATTGTCTTTACTTACAGTAACAATTGGATGATATAAAAAATTCGTTGTCCGACGAATTAATACACTTAACATACTGCATAGGGAATTAAGGAGCTTAGTCTAAGATGCATTCCGACAGCGGATCGACGGAGAAAGAAATAACGCAATACACGTATATTAGAACGTACGTTAAAAGAGATATGCTGCATTCCGAAATTCACCACTGTTTACCACCATTACTACGCGTCATGCTGAGAAAACATATACAGAAAATTCGGCACTCAGTGCGCAGTAGTGCAAGTTCCACGGCAACGCTGGTGCAAGTTACCGAATTCGTTTTGACAGATTTTCAACATTGATAGGAAATTATTATTTATTACATTCCACTGTATTATTTATTATTGTTATTACATATTAATTGTGTGTATCTTAGAAATTAACAATAAAACGATAACGAGTAACAATAAGGAGCAGTAAGTCGAAATGATAAGATATATATAATAGTAAGTTTTAAAACAATAAAAAGAAATTAAAATAGATGATCAAACATTATTTGTTAGGCTGTTGAATCCAATATCCCCAAGTAGCGAAAGATTTGTCTCCTTTCTCCTTAAGAGGACCACGAAATACTTTTATTTTGACTCTTGGAATGTCATCTGCAAATATCAATTGTACAATAGAAATAATAAAAGGACGTTTTTTCATATCTGTATACTGTTTAGTGTTTCTATATACACAGAATGTCCCATTTAATATTTTCAGAGTGAAAACTTTCTTGTGCTTAAAAAAAGTATTTACAAAATACATATTGTTTGTCTGTAATCTTGCCTGTTTTTATAGTCTCGTGATAGAATGAGTTGTCGCAATTAGTTGTAAACATTATCGTCAGCAGACCGAGTATAAGAAGAGTACACTGTAAGAAAGTTGCTTTGAAAAGCAACAAAATAAAACAAGAATCCACAAATAACGATTGCGATGTTACTCACCACTAATCTCATATTGATAGAAGATCAAAATTATTGATTAACTGAATTTTCGAATTGAGAAGACGAAGAACTTATATGCGCGACGATGTCTGCATTTAGAGCATGACTGATCACGAAGATTTTCTATCTCGTGATTTAAGAGATTGTTTTTCTAAAGAGAAAGCTGCGTTGTTCTGTGAAGCATAAAATTATAATATATTGTGTACATTACAAAATGACAAAAACAATTTTCAATAGGTTTTTATTTGAACGATCTGTCTGTAATATTGAACAAATTCGTCGTGACGTAAATACTTGTTCACTGGACACAAATTCATCTAAACACTTATGTTTTAGTTATCGATTTGATTAGCCTTTGCTAAACACCCCAGGCAACCAGCTGACGTTATAATGACGTTAATATAAAGTCAGTTTTTGACCAGTTCGACGTTAGTTTATGACGTGATATTAACGTAATGACGACGTGAGTTTGTCTCGTCAAAAATGACGTCATGTTAATGACGTTTACTTACGTCATTAATCTGACGTAACG